GGCGGCAGCGGCCGGGACCGTTGGGGGTGGGGTGTGTGGCCTTATGACACACTTCCGGTGATGTCAGGGGGTGTGGCATATGGTAATGAATTATGCTAATGAGTTCCCCTAGCTGTTTTTCTACGAAACGACTCCTGCCTGTCAGTCTGTCACAGGTAAATATAACCTGGGAGTTCTTAGGTGTGGCCTCCCCTCTGGAAGCGATTGCCCACTCACTCCTCCCACCCCCAACTGTCCAAGGTTGCTTTAACCATCAAGAGCTTACGTGAGCTTCCACATAGCACCCTGCAACAGCCACCTTCACCACCATGGAGCCATCGCGATTTGGGGCTACCCAAACCCCACAGATGGAGTCGTTCTTCAAGGGGTGGGGCTGGCCTTCAGCGTCTGGAGGGAGTTAAAGCAACAAGATGTTTGGAGAAAGACAGTCCACCCCTCCCCAGACATTTCCCACCCACTCCCGTATCTCTGACAGGCCATGACAACATCCCCACCCCCTCTTCAAGCCCTCATCCCTGAGAAGGGAGGGCAAAGAAGATAAAATTCACCACACACGTGATCAGGTCTTTGGAAGGGGAAGGGGAAAATGTTCCCATTTTCTCTTATAAGAGGACATGCTTCTTAGATTTGGCCTTTACATGCCCCAAATCCAGCAATTCTTAGTACTATATTATTATTTTCTTTTTAGCATCTACCCAAGGATCTCTTTTGTGGAATACCTTCTTTATTTCAGATATTTACACCAGGGTCCAGGCATAATTTCTCTGGTTTTGTGTACCAAATAAATGTCTAACTCCACCTCCAAACTATAATCCTACACATACATAGCTAGCCTCAAGAAACTATGTTACCTCAGAAATACTACAGCCACCTGACTATAGTATTTCTGAGGTAACAGCCTCTAATATAAGGAGAGATTTAAGGGCCAGGCTGCCCTTCATTTATCATAAAGCGTATCAATCCTTCCTCCTGCTCCCAAGGTTGGGGACTCTTCCTAACAACTGTGGGCTCTCAAAACCCTCTTACAATCACTATATAAAAATGTAAGTTTCCAGGGAGGTGGACGGGGTGGCCAGATATTTTTGTGCTTGGTCCATTGCAGCAGACTGCTGTAGCATCTTGAATGCTTTTACACAGAGATGCAAACCCAAAGCAGCAGGAACCCACCACTGTGTCAGCTAGGCCTCCAGCTGCCATGGTGTGAGGGGGTGCCTCTGGAATTTTAGGTTTCTTTTCTCTGTGCCTTTAGTGTTTCTTTATCTCTGTAACATGAGCGTTTGGCCTTGGTGTCTAGCACCAGCTTCCTCCTGGGAAGACAGACGCGTTAGCTTTGGCGGACTTTTACCTATTCCTTGATTGGCTCCTGGCCATCAGGTGACCCCCTTGAATTATGCATATCTGCTTGCTTCGCACACTTATTACCAGTTCTAACACGAGATGTGTAAAGATAACCTGCATACTTCAATGTCTCAATAAACTTCACTTCTTCACATGGGAGTTGTTGGGAACTGATTGCTGCAGGAGTTCTGACACACGGCCTCCATGTAGGAGGAGCAGCCTCCAAGTGGGGACTGGGGTCCTCCCAGGACTACTGCTGATCTGTAGGCTACAGAGATTAGTTCACCTGGAGAAAATGGCTGCTTTGAAGGGCATTATAACCCCACCCTTCCAAGACTCCACCCCCCAAATTTCCAGGAGTTTCCTAACCCAGAGTTGGCAGCCCTGTTCTCTTTTCTACCTCACATTCCCCCAGAGAATGAGGGTCCCAATGTTACCGTGTTTGCTTCATGGACCTGTAAGGATTTGAATCTGGGGCACCCCAGGTCTTTGTATTTTATGTTACTACTTATATTGCAGCCCTGTTCTCTTTTCTACCTCACATCCACCCAGAGAATGAGGGTCCCAGTGTTACCATGTTTGCTTCATGGCCCTGTGGGGATTTGAATCTGGGGCACCCCAGGTCTTAGGTCTTTGTATTTTATGTTACTACTTATATTCTGCCTTGCCCCTAATGAGGGCCCAAAGTGGCTTACATCTCCTCTCCTCCATCTGAGCAGACAATACTAACCTTGATAGGCCAGGGATTTGATTCAGTATAAGGCAGTTTCATGTATGTGTGACTAAAACAACCTTATGGGACTCAAGCAGTTACAGCAAAAACTATCCATCGATAGAACACAAATTAAATTGCAGGCTCATACAGACTCAATTACCTATAAGGCCAATCAGGGACAAGAAATAGGACCGTTTAATAGCCGTTCCAGTTCACTGCTCAAAATTAATGTTTTACTCCATCATTAGTGTCTTGAAGGAGGAAAGAGATATTTATCTTATATACAGAAAATGAATCAAACCCACACTTATCCTCCCATCTGCCCACAGAAATAATTAAAGCAGGTAGCTCAGCTTCGGGGGGGGGAACCCCAAACTTACCCAAGATTCTTATTGTAGAGAAAGCAGCCTGAGGATTTGGTAATAAGAGAAGTTCTAAATTGTTTTCATTGCAGCTAAGCAAACCGGCATCCCAAGTAGCTCCAGCAGCATCCCCCATATTCACTTGGGCACCCACAAAAAGGAACCACATAAACAAAACTCCCTTCAGCTCCATCCTAGTAACTGCACATGCCCAGATGTTCACCTTCTACCTGCTGTTCACAGGTGTGTTAATACCCATGGGAGAAATGTGATTGGACTACACTAAACTAACCCTCCCTATTTCATGCCTCCATCAATTGACACACCTGCAAAGGAAGGTTACAATCCTATAGAGTCTGTCTGGGGATTCAGGGCTGCCAACAGGCCTGGATAAAATATCCTGACTCTTTAGTACAGGCTTAATGTGTGGAAATGGGTCACTGAACCTTTTCATGGCATGAAGATAAATAATATCACTTGGGAAAATAACAGGACATTTTTTTTCTCCAGGCCTGTTGGCTACCCTACCAGGGAGCCACTCCCACTGAATTCATTGAGGCTTACTTCCAAGTAAATGTGCATGGGCTTAAGTTGGAGGTTTACAAACCAATGCACACTTCCTTGAGAGTAAAGCCCCATAAATAACAGTGCAACTGACCTCTGAGTAAATTCAACAGATCATGCTGTGTGGCTGTGATCCTGCACACTGGACTTACTTATGAGTAGATTCTAGGTGGAGAATCAGTATAATTCTGCATACAGTGGCTTTGTATGTCCCCACATTGCCACAAGTAAATGAACCTAGGATCAGGGCAGGCTAAGCTTGCCAACTGCCTGGAGAAAACAACACCCTATCCCTTTGTGTGTGTGTATGTAAAGTGCTGCCAAGTTGCAAACTCACAGCAACACCAGCAAGGGGCTTTCAAGGCAAGTGAGAAGCAGAGGTGGTTTGCCATTGCTTTCCTCTGCAGAGTCTTCCTTGGTGGTCTTCCTTCCAAGTACTGACCAAGCTTGGCTTCCAAGATCTACTTCCTATCCCTTTGACAGAGGTTTAATGACCTGTTATTTACCGTTATATTATTTGCCTCCCCCCAGCATGAAAAGCTTCAGCAGCACATTTTCTATTCATAAAGAAGTTCAGAGTGAGTCTGATGCAGGATTAGGGCCATGGGACTTGTAGGAGAGAGTCACAGTTGACTACTTCCACCTGCAAGTCTTTGGAGTCAGGGGCCCTTGAGGAGGAAGCGTGGAGAATAAAAAAGGAGCCTGTGCTGTATCTTCTTCAGATCTTCTGAGATGAGAAGGGGAGTTTAATAGAAG